TCTATGACCATGAGGATTTCAACAATTAGAAGCCTTAGTGACAGAGTAGATGCTATCAATAATTGTCAGGACCTATACATTTCAGTGTAAGAATTTAGAAGGTAAGTTGATTTGATTGCTGTGAGTTGTGAATTAGTATTTTTAACTCACAAGGTCTTAGGGGTTATTATTTCTCTGTTTTTGGGAGCTACAGTATAACATGCTTAATGTTTGTGATGCTAAGGTTACAACGCCAAATAAATTACCAGAAACACTACTCCAAGCTGTGGAATCCATAAGCATTGTATTTGGCCTTTAATTCACATAGCATATTCTCTGTGATTGTTGAGTATATGAATGGCTTTAATGTCAGCATGATTGTGGTCAGGATAGATTCATTTAATCTTGTTGAGCTTTTCTCTCCACTACCATATTTTGAAACATAAAGAAATTACAAAAGGGTTTGGGGGCTTTAGAGGAATGAGTTTACAAGTCTTTTATTTGCTTGTATCTGTAGTTCATTTCTTTTTTTCCCAGCAGATTAATTTTTATTACTTTATAAATAATACCAATCAAAATTTCCACTACCTCCCCTCCTCCCACTTCCCTCTCCCTTCCCCACTCACTCTTCCTCCCTCCCCCTCCAGTCCTAGGAGAGTGCAGGGTACCCTGCCCTGTGGGAAGTCCAAGGCCCTCCCCCCTCCATCCAGGCTTAGGAAGGTATGCATGCAAAGAGAATAGGATCCCAAAAAGCCAGTACATGCAGCAGAGACAAATCCCAGTGCCATTTTCATTGGCTTCTCAGTCTGCCCCAATTGTCAACTACATTCAGAGAGTCCGATTTGATCCCATGCTCGTTCAGTCCCAGTCCAACTGGATTTGGTGGGCTCCCATTAGCTCAGGCACACTGTCTCAGTGGGTGGACCAACCCCTAGTGGTCCTGACTTCCTTGCTCATATTCTCCCTCCTTTTCCTCTTCAACTGGACCTTGAGAGCTCAGTCCGGTGCTCTGATGTGGGTCTCTGTCTCCATCTGTTGCTGGAGGAAGGTTCTATGGAGATACTCAAGAAAGTCATCAGTCTGACTACGGGACAAGGCCAGTTCAGGCATCCTCTTCTCCGCTGCTCAGAGTCCCCGTGGACACCTGGGAACCCTTCTAGAGCCAAGCCTCTTGCCAACCCCAAAATGGCTCCCTTAATTAAGATATCTTCTTCCCTGCCTCCATATCCGTCCTTTCTCCATCTCAACCATCCCACTCCCCTAAGCTCTCCCCAACCCTCACATTCCCCCTTCTCTCTCCCCCTCTCCCCTTCCCTCACTCCACCCACACCCCCATGCTCCCAACTTTTGCCCGGCAATCTGTATATGTTTTTCTTTGGGTTCACCTTATTACTCAGCTTCTCTAGGATCGTAAACTATAGGCTCAATGTCCTTTGTTTATGGCTAGAATCCACTAATGAGTGAATAGATACCATATTCATCTTTTTGGGTCTGGGTTACCTCACTCAGGATAGTGTTTTCTATTTCCATCCATTTCCATGCAAAATTCAAGATGTCATTGTTTTTTACCGCTGAGTAGTACTCTAATGTGTAGATATTCCACACTTTCTTCATCCATTCTTCCATTTCTGAAGAAATTTGAAACAGTCCTTTCTGGACATAGATAGAATTTTGACATCACATTGAAATTTATTATTCTATTACATTAGTTTTTAAGTTAAAATTGTCTTTCACTTGTCTTTACTCGTATAAATAAATTCTTCCAGTGTTATGGAACATGTATATGAAATAAAACTTTTAAATCCCAGTTTAAATTTTATTCCTAAACTTTATTCTTTCAGAGTTATCCATGGTTAATTGTACTTTATATTTTAATGATGTACTACTATAAGTAGAAGTATAGAATTTCTAGCTCAGGGCCCAGTAAAATTACTCAGTGGGTAAAGATGGTTTCCAGAAAGCCTGACAAATTGATCTTGAGCCATGGTGGAAAAAAAATACAAACTTCCAAAAGTTGTCCTCTGAATTCCACATGCTTACCATGGTATACAAATATGTGTGTGTGTGTTTGTGTGTGTGCATGTACTCATATACTTACAAATAAATGTAATAAAAAATTTCACCTTCAACAAATATGTCAAGCACTTGGACATTAAATATTATATTATATTTATATTTCCAAATGAAATTTACCATTTAGAATTCTCACAATTATTTGAATCAGTGTATATTTTATACAAATTTCATCGCAAAATAATAGATACTGGCAAGATTTATACTCAATTATTTTAATAGCCAAACAAAATAGTAAAATAAATGTATACTCCGTTCTCTAAACTGTTATAAATGAAAAATGTTTATATCAGTAATTAGCATTTCCCTCTTTTCTGTGTGTCTGAAAGTAAACCTGAGTTATTAAAATTATGGGTGTATTAAATCATATACTTCACATGAATGCCATTTGTTGATTTCTTTTTTGGGGGGGGGCGGTAGGGAGTGGGTTTCCAGACAAGGTTTCTCTGTGTAGCCCTAGCTATCCTGGAACTAGTTCTGTAGATTAGGCTGGCCTCAAACTCACAGAGATCCTCCTGCCGTTGCCTCCTGAGTGCTGGAATTAAAGGCGTGTGCCACCACCTCCTGGTTTTCACTATGTTTTTAATTGAGTTATCTAACATACATCTAATGCAGACAAAACAATACAAAGGGAAGTTAATTGGACACGAGTTAGTAACTAATAATCAAAGTAAACACAATAATTAAGAATTCATTCTGCCAAATCAGTAGCCATGACTTGTTTTTAGCCTAATTCTTACATCCGTTCAGCTGGCTATAATAATATCTACTACTTCAGGAAGTTAGAACGATAAATGAGAATGAACATGAAATAATTTTCATTGTGCCAAACATTTGTAGGTACTCTGCAAATAATTTCTGCTAGCAATAATATTAGATAATAATTGCAGTGTATCTCCCTATGGTTACTGTTTTTTTCTAAAATACAATCTTGGATAGTTTTAAATATGATTGAGTTTTAAACTAGTAGTGTAAACCTGATGTGGTGGTTTACAACTGCATTACAAGCACTGTGGAGGCTGACACAGAAGAGAGGATTCATTTTAGCTCACAGTTCCGGTTACAGTCCATCATTGCGGGCAAAGTCACAGCAGCTAGGGCTTGATGGAGCTGGTAATAGCACATCCATAATTGGAAACAGTAATGAATGCATACATGTCATTGTTCAGCTAGTTCTCTCTGTTTCTTACAATCCAAGATTCTCTGCCCAGGCAATAATCCTACCCATAATGGGTATATCATCTTACTTCAATTAATTAATCAAGATAACCCCCCACAAACACACCTTAGGCCAGTATCCTAGGTGACTCTAGATTGTCAAGTTGGCAATTAACACTAACCATCACTTATGAGTAGATGTTTATCAGGGTAAATACTTTCATTGTATCCTGAGACCTTAATATCAGAAAGAAGGCGAGTAATAAGCTTTCTATGATTGTTATGTAGCTAGACTGGCCAGTGTAACTGTTGTTTATTATAACATGGTCATGGAATTAAGAATAGTGTGTTATTTCATCTCATGTGTAAGGACTGAGGACTTTGCAGGTAAGAAAAACAATAGATAAGTAAGTATTTGTTTATTATCTTTGGATATTAGCTATATTGGACTGTTTTAAATATAATTATCATATATATTATAAACTTTATAAGGCTGTCTTCATTGCATCATTTAATTTTTTATTTGAAGAAATACAGTCTCAAAGATATAATTTGCTTACAAAGTCATTGTCAGTGGGGTAATTACAAACATCTATCCTCATATCAGGCTCGTATTTTTCCTCTGGGTATTGGTGTTAGGTGACTAATGTCTGTCTTTAGGAGCTGATAACCACAATTAAAGTGCAGTCTTGAAAAACAGATGCAAAAATCATGAGTCTCATTACAGAAGCAAATTTAGCCTGACAATTTCTGTAGCGGAGGGTAGCAGAGCCTAGTGAGACAGAGTGAATCACCTCCTTCATGGAAAACTAATGCAGTCACTGTAGAACAAGTAAAACGTAGCAGAGATGGAGTATTATACCTTGCTTCCCACGAAACCGTAACTCCTTCAGTAAAGAAGAAAACTGCTTATCATTCAGATAAGATAAGGATATATTTGCAGTGATCAGATGTGAGCGGTAGGTAAGCAGGGTACAGGGAAAAGTTAAAAATTACTGGAATATAAATGTTCCCTAGCTCAGCAGGGTTCGGAATGAAGGTCAATTTCTGACTGGTGACCGAAGGGTGAAGAAACAGATTGAGCTTGTTGCAAGTTTCACCTGATGGAAGTAGGAAGTTCTATACAAAGGTAAACTTGATCCAGAAAGTCATGAAAAATGCAAAAAGAATTATCCAAACAAGTGATGCATCTTTCAAATGCATCATTTTCTTTAAGTTTTCTGATCATTAAATAAAAGAACCCAGATTTTAATATTATTTAGAATATAGTTAAATATAATTTGAATTAAATTAAACCTCAATATCAAGAGTTTCTCAGATTATCAAAATTGTTAGTTAATAATTTAGATGTGATGCATCAAATGATATAAATAATACATTAACTATAACTTGGATTAGTCACCTGGACATATAGTTCATATATCCTTAACTTTAAAAATAAAGATACCTTTGTGTATTATGTGTTCCTAGTGACCTTTTGTATAAGATTTTTAAAAAATGAAATGCCAGTTGACATTTCCTCAACTTTATGTTTCCCTCCTTAGAAAGTTATACTAGGGGCTGGACAGATGGCTCGGTGAATCAGAGTGAGTTTAGTTTCCAGTACTCACACTGCCTAGTTCTCAATCGCCTGTAAGCCAGATCTAGAGCCAGCTGATGGCTCTGAGGGACCTGCACTAATTTTCACACAAACATGTACTAGAAAATAAAACTCTCCAGAATCATAGTAAGTGGTGACTTGTATGTTACTACAACATATGTTTACCGTAACTTTTCTTTTCCTCTTCCAGTGTAAAACTCTTTCTGGAGTGTGTGACCACATCATATCCCTGTCATCAGATCCTCTGGTTTCACAGTCGGCTCACCTGGAAGTGATTCAGCTGGCAAATATTAAACCGAGTGAAGGGCTGGTAAGGGATACCATGTTTATCAAAGCCATCATCCATCAGCACACAGCACAAGATGTGGGCAAGAAGGCAGCCTCAGAATAGAGGAGTCTAGGAATTTCCACAGATCCTCACCCTCCTCTCCTTTTCATCTCCTGTAGAGGTCAAGGTAGAAGAGGGTGGCATTGAAACCACTTTTAAAAGACAAACCAATAAAAAGAGAGAAAAGGAAATGAGAATTCTGAGTTATCCTATTTGGTTGAGTAATCATTGATTGCATTCTTTCACCAATTAAAATTCCTGATCTTAAGGACATTTAAGAGTTTTGCAACAAGCACAGTGTTACCTGTCATTCAAGTAGGTATTTTCTGGGTTTGTTTTACAATGATTTATCCTGGTTTTAATAGATCTTCCTTCCCCTTGAGTAAGTAATTAGAGAAAACTCACATATTTTGTTTGTGGGTCCATGTGTAGTGCATGTGTGTTTGTGTATGTGTTTATGTGTGTGTGGGCAGGCATGGCTATGTATTCACATGTGGGGCCTGGATTTAATATGGAATGCCCTCCTTAGTTATTCTCTCCCTTACTGAGACAAGATTATCTTACTAAACCTAAAGCTTATTAGACTGACCAGCTCACTAGTCAGCCTAGCCAGCAGGTACCCCAATACTTCCTATCTCTTCCAGCTCTGGGGTTACAGGCAAGTTTCACCATGTTTGGCATTTTGTGTGGGTGTTGGGAACTCGAACTCAGGTCTTTATACTTACTTATCAAGCTCTTTACCCATTGAGCCATCTCTCCAGACATTATAATGTATATGAATTGCATCTCTGCCATTTTTCACATCTCTTGTTAGAAGAATTGAATGAGCAACTGGATAGTGCTAACACTAGGTTAATATTCATGAAGTGCGTTGATAATGTTAGTAGTTTGTTCAACTGGTTAAAAACATCTTGATTATAAGTTTAACTCAAAGGAGAGCTTTTTAAATATAACTGTAGAAAGCAATTATATAAAATTGATATGAACGAGAAAGGCACAGACACACTAAGCAGAAACTGGCTGGTAAGCATTACCACTTATTAAATGTTAATTTCATCCTTTGGTGTTATAAACTTTCTCCCCATAGATAACGATGTTCTGGAAAATAGAAATCTTGGAAGCAAACATATTCTTAATGATCTCTGAGGAAATTTTAACTTTTTATGTGCTTTTTCACACACATGTGTGTGTTTGTATAGTTATGTTTGTAACTATTTTGGGGAGAAAGCCTTTATTAACCACCAGTGATATTTAGTTTGAAGCCATTCATGCATTCTATACAGTAACTTCTTTCCTGCTAGTTGACAAATTGATTCTGGTTGTCCATCGTTTCTAGATTTTTTGCTTGTTTGTTTATTTGTTTTAGTTTGGATTTTTTGATTTTATAAGTGATTTCTTGAAAAGATGAAAATCAAGTATAGCATCCTGGTTACACAACATCATACTAAGTTATAAGTACTATATCTAAGTTTGCTACAGTTTGTTTATAAGCTTATTTCTAATATGTATAGGTTTATATGGAGAAACCTTTATGATTTAGAATTCTCATTACAGCATTTTCCCCTTTAAAGATTACTTTCTGTGGCTTCAACTAACATCATTTACAGCAGTCCTAAAATATTAAATGGAAATTTCAGAGACAATTTAGATTGCATACTATTCTGAATAGTGTGATTAAAATTTCATACCAACTCATCTAGGACATGAGTAATCCTTTTGTCCAGCTTAGCCGAACTATCTATGATACCCACTCACTAACTACTTAATAGCTATTGAGGTTATTAAATTGACAGTCATAATACTGCAAGACCTTGTGCTCAATCAACTCATATTCAACTTACAAATAGCCCCAACGTTCATTTATGTTGCTAAGACACCAGAAAATGATTCCTATAGCCAATAAACTGAAAATACATGATACTTTGCGCATTATTTCAGCATATAATCGTAATTTTTATATTACTAATAGTTATTTTTATCTCATTTTATTTAAAAATAAAAATTCATTATTATGGTTGTGTAAGAAAAACAGTACACACATATAGACATACTATGTTTGATAGGATCCATACCCTCAGATATGTCATAGACTTTTTGAACATATGAATAGGTCACTTCTTCCTGAATGTCTGTGCTCCTTTTGGTATCTTTACCAAAGTAATTTTGTTTTTGAAGATAAAACACCCTCAAATATTTAATACTAAATATTTTCCCTTCTCCATCTCCTCTTTCAGGTATAGTCAATGAAAGATCTTAGCATAATGGGTGCAGTAGAAAATTAGGAACTAATACATTATATTAGTTTAGAATTTGTGAATCTGGATTAAAAACATTTACATAAAATATGAGAGCAGTCTTAGGGATGTGGGAGAATAAATTTAACTTCTGTGGCCTTGATTTTATCACAGAGAAAATATAGGGGCAGGAGTAGATCATCTTTAGATGTTCTTTGAGTTTTATGACTCTGTGATTCTAATAGTAGTGTTTGAAGAAAAGCACCTATTTTTCCTTTTAATTGGCATTAAAATCACGGGAACACTAAGCATGTGAAGTGAGCTAAAACTCAATTTACTTTATTGTTCATGAACTTTATGAACAATTTGTTTTCTCTATGAACATACAGCCCTGGAGAAATTGTTTTAAAGTGAGGTCGGTCTGTATCTTCTTTTTAGAATGGACATAAATTTAAAGTAGCGATAACCAAAAATTTAAATAGGTTGGAAAATATCAGAGAAAAGGAAAAAAATAGAAATTAGAATAAGTATTAGAAGTTCTTTCTTTTTGCCTTTTATTTTCCTCACAACATATAGAATAAGTATTAATTTTCTCATTTTGCAAGTAAGAAGAGAACCAAAAATTTTACTGATTGTCTTTCATTAAATAATAACCAGTAGAGGCAGGACATAAATCTAAACAAAACGTATCTGGCAAATACTTTTTCAATATCTTATATCCAAATTTGGAATAGCTAAAGGGAGATAAAGGCAGCTTAAGAGAATAATCTTAAATTTGAGTTTGAATTTTTCTTAAAGAACCTCATTTTTAAAGGACAGTGGGCAATACTTCAACTGAGTTGCTATTTCACAGGGAGAGAAATAAAAACCTAAAATATTGAGTATTAATTGAAAGAATTAAGGGTGAACTTCTTTCTTATGAGTCTTATCAAGTTTGCAGATTAGAGGCTTTACATGACTTACTTAAGATGCTTTTTTAAATGCACTCACTTTTAAGTAACCTTCATAGATCATGTTTAAAATAGATCAGTTTGAGAATGTGACCAGCATTTGGTAAGTTCTTAACCATGTGATATGTCTAAAAGGCAAATACGGGGAGAGACTGCAAACACGTGTGCCTAGTTGTAATTAAGCCATGGCCATGTGATTTGCCTTTAAAAAACAACGATTAGCAGAAAATTAAAAGATGTGGAAATGAGATCTATTAGAGCATTTAAAAGCTGAGTGATAGATAAGAGATTATGAGTTGAATAGAGGGTAGGGGCCTCAAGGCGTCATTCTGGAAGCATGGCTTCAGGCTTCTTCCTCTTGTGAGGTGCTTGAGCTACCTCCAAACTTGTAAAACTGCGTTATTGTACCATCTTGACTGTAAGGCTGCTCTGACTGCTACTGCATAACTGGCATTTGGAGATGAAGTGGAACAAACATCATTTTAGCTAGCAAACTGAGCATGGTAAAGGGAGCTGTTAAGTCAACACCAGAATTAATTGTTGCCCAAAAGGAAAAAAAAAAGATGGTTTTCACGCCTTTAATCCCAGCACTTGGGAGGCAGAGGCAGGCGGATCTCTGTGAGTTCGGGACCAGCCTGGTCTACAAGAGCTAGTTCCAGGACAGGCTCCAAAACCACAGAGAAACCCTGTCTCGAAAAACCAAAAAAAAAAAAAAAAGAAAGAAAGAAAGAAAAGAAAAGAAAAGAAATATAAGGCAAATATTCATTGCATTTCCAGAAAAACAATGTTATTTGAATGATATATCATCCTGCTATTTGGCGCTTTCTCAGAGAGAAGCAATAATGAGGTGTATTTTCTGTGAACTCTTCATCATTGAAAAGATGATTAATTTCAAATTCATCCAAACAATTTGCTTCTTCTCTTTCTTTTGTTGATTTACTTTGGGGCATTTTTTTCTAATTGGTACTACTAAAGATAGATTAAAGGATAAATAAATCTATTTTCCATTATTTAAAGCAGTTGTTGCAAATAATTTATTGATTAGAAATAATACATAAATAATCTTTATTCATGTGCCATTTTAAAATCGTGCTTTCTAACCCTTGGTTCATGATTATGAAATAACTTTAGAGTTGAACTCTATGTATATATCTATACCCAATCTTAATCAGGATCTCACTGTTCCAGTCTGTTTTGGAACTCAATATGTAGACCAGGCTGACCTCTGTCTTCCCAATACTGGAACTGAAGGCTTGTACAACTATTCTCTTTATATAAATATTTAATTAATAATTTTCTAGTTTCTGCCATAATTACACATAGATATTTATTCCTGAATCATAGATTATTCCCATAATTTTTTTCATCCCAGGATTTGATTTTCTTTTCAGAACACTTTTATTAGTATACTAGATTTTCTTTGTGACCATAACCTTTTTAGTATCATTTAAAACTCTTCTTGAGGGCTGATGAGAAGCCAAGGACAATGGCACAGGGTTTTGATCCTACTTAATGTGCTGGCTTTGTGGGAGCCTAGCCAGGTTGGATGCTCACCTTCCTAGATATGGACGGAGCGGGGAGAACCTAGGACTTACCACAGGGCAGGGAACCCTGACTGCTCTTTGGACTGGAGAGGGAGGGGGAGAGGAGTTGGGGGAGGGGGAGAAGGGTGGAAGGATGGGGAGAAGGGTGGGAGGAGGGGGAGGGAAATGGGAGGCTGGGAGGAGGCGGAAACTTGTTTTTTTTTCCTTTTCTCAATAAAAAAAAATAAAAAATAAAATAAAACTCTTCTTAAATACCAGTAATCATAATCAATACACCCAATATTAAAAGATTTGTGGAAAGTAAAATAATCAACCTCTACTTATCATTATTGGAGAAAATGACTTTGAAATACATTTGTAAACTATCCAGTGTCAAACCTAGATACACTTTCCAACTCCATTATGCATACTACATATTGCTAAGGTTATTTTTAGACCTTTAGACTGGATTTCAACAGCTAGGAGTGTAGGTCAATGGTAGAGAGTTTTTCTATCATGAGTGAGGCCTGTGGCTTGATCCCTGGGATCACCAAAAATTAATATAGATTAATTAATGATTTTCTGCTTTAATTTTTACAATATTCAAGTGTTATGTTTTAATAAGAAAAGTGCATTAACTCTGCTGGAAATAACTCCAAAAGTTTGAGGTTCTGTGATTGAGAGGGTATCTGGATTCAGATATGACACCTGACTTTACCACCTTAGACTTACTCTCCAGGCATTCTGCCCTTTAGTTTTCTTAACTCTAAAACCGTGTCAATCGAATTACACCACAAAGACTTGTGTAAAATAGGTGTAAGATACTTAAAACAGACCCAAGCACATTATAATAGCTACTAGTGATGATGGAAATAGGTTGGTGGATAGATGGATGGGTGGATGGATGTCTAGATGATAGATAGATAGATAGATAGATAGATAGATAGATAGATAGATAGATAGATAGATAGATAGATAGATAGATAGATAGATAATTATGGATGAGGATTGTGTTCTAGTTGAAATGTTTTCTTTATTTATTTTGCTGCCAGTTCCCACTTTATTTACTCACAACCTTTGAATGGAAAACTTTAAAAAAAAAGTGTAGTATTTACCTCTTACAAATACTATTTAAGATCTTTTATTGATTAGATAATATCTTTTAAATAGCTAGGGTAGAAGTGTCAGTATCAATCATTCTATCCTAAGATTTTTAATATTATAATATTTACTTTCCAAGAAATAATGGGATATATATTAACTCAAAAGTGTGTATGTCATACACCCTCACCAGCATCAGGGTAAATATTACCATATTATTATAGCCAAAGCTTAATATAGCCAATTTGTCAGTTAATTTCCATGTATACTTCTACTTGGGCTATTATTTACTATTCTATTAAACTGTGAACTTCCATTTAAAACTAGAGTTTACTGATAAACAGCCTTCTTTTAAAACTACATTCATTTCATTTCCCATTTAGAGATCCAGGCTCAACAATTTTGTAGAACTATTACACTTTTTATATATGATACTTTGAAATGACTTTTTAGAATAAAAGAACTACCTAGTCATTTCTTGGTCCTTCCATATAGTTAACTATTCTGCTTCATTTTTCTTTTTCTTCCTCTCACTGAAATATGTCTGTGGCTTCACGTTTTCTGATTCTTTTTCTTAGGGTATGTATATTAAATCCACATATGATGGCCTCCATGTAATCACTGGAACAACAGAAAATGTAAGTACTAAAACATTTCCAATTTGAGTATTTATGTGTTTCACATGATTGAGGTTAAATGTTGGTTCCAAGAACACATCTAAAAATACTTACTAAATTAGTAGATTCTGGATGCATTGGAATTTCACTCATTTTATTTACTCTAGAATAGTGGCTTAGAGAAATTCTGATGCTTTCCTTTTTAAGCCAGAGAATTATCTTTGTTAAGTACTTTCTGGTTCATGCTAGGTTATTGTGACAACTAAAATAATCTACTTCCATCATCAATTATTGAGTTATCTTAAGAAACTTAAGTGATGTGAGAAACGTCCCATCAGTCAGGCTGTTGTATACTGGCAGCATAATTCAGCTCAATGAAATAGAGGCGTAGCTGAATGGTTTTAACAGTGAGATTCGTCCATTAGTCTACTTTGAGAGCTTGCTAGAAATTTAAATTCAAAGGTTCTATCACAGATCCAGAATCCTAGGAACATCCTACCTTTATGAAAAGATTCTAACAGGTGTTTTGACTATAAATTGGAAAAGATTATCATAACATACTAGGTTGTAAAATTCAAATGAGCAAAGATAGTAGCACACAGAAGTGACTAGCTATGCTCTAAAAAGAGAAATATAAATGCATTAAATAAATCATTAACATGATTAGCATAATAGAAATTGAATAATAAAAAGTCATTAATTAGCCCATATTTCTCTTTTCTTTCATAAACAGGTTAGGAACTTTGGTTTTGTTCTTATTTTCTTTTAGAGATTCAGACAAATTGAATGTTTATGCTGTGTTTCTTTAAAGAATACTGTGGTGGAATTAAGTTAATTTCAGTTGTCATTTATCTCATTGTTTTATCAATGTTTTCTTCTTTGAAATCACCATTTTCTGTAGTTAATTCACCTATTAACTCTAATTATTATTGATTTAACTTCTTTTCTTGGTTTCTTGTTGAAAATGAAACATCAATGAAAATCAGTAAAATGTGCGTTGTGAATTATTTCCTATTTGAGCTTGAGTAGGACGTTAAGCACTACGTGTTTGCCATCCTTCTCTAATTTCCGTGCACTCGTTAGATCATTCCTGCGCTCCCCGCTCATTTAACAAGCCCACTGTGTCTGTGCTGTGATCCAGGCAAGGCATTGAGCATTGGAAGGATATATATGATAAACTAGTTTTGTTTTCCTTGAGAAGTACAAAGTATGTAGGGCTCAACTATGTGAGCAAGTGTTACTATTTACTTGATACATGAAGGAAAAAATGTAATAAGTATTGTCAAGTAAACCAGAGAAGAAATCACAGAAACGGTGCTTTTGTACTGTGTCATGGAGAACTGGTAGGAATGGCTCTCCCTCCGTTATCTAACATTTGTGAATGTAACAGCTGAGTACAGTGCTTCATACACTTTACTTACGTGGTGAAACTTGGTAAATGGCTAAATGATAAAAGAAGCGTTTGAGCCGGGCGGTGGTGGTGCACGCCTTTAATCCCAGCACTCAGGAGGCAAAGGCAGGCGGATCTCTGTGAGTTCGAGGCTAGCCTGGTCTAGTTCCAGGACAGGAACCAAAAGCTATGGAGAAACCCTGTCTCGAAAAATCAAAAAAGGAGCGTTTGAACATGTGATTGCTATATGTTCATAGTTCATCCTGTGGTTCTTCTTTTCTCTTGATAGTATTATATTATTTTGTTACCTATATAATTTGTAATTCGGAGTTCTAGTTCTGTGTTTAATCTTAGTAAAGCTGGTCACTAGAGTGGGTAAGTTATATTTTTATCTGCTGTGCCATCTTAAAAAAAAATATTAGTTTTGAGCCCATGGCACAAGTGACTGGAACTATTGCCCTATGCGTTCTAATCCGTTCAGAACTGTTATATGGCTCTGGTCTGATTGCTAATATTGCCACGACCTAAAGATATTTTCAGATCACTGATATTTTTTTAGAATAGTGTTCATATCTCAGATTAACCTACCTCCATAACAGTATTTTTAGTTCATTCAATAATATACTTTTTAAATATAATCTTGAATTTTAGCCTATGGCAAATTTTTGTAGGCTAAAACTTTTGTTCCCGTGAGGTAATATAGTATGAAGTCTTTTATGTTTTCAAAATAATTAAAAATTGGAAATGAATTTTTGAAAAGTAGCTGCCCTAAGGACATGGCTAAGTTTGTGCTAGAGTACAAACACGAGGGCCTGACTTTGGATCTCCAGTACCCTCATAGGCAGATAGCACAGCAGAGCTGGGGAGCAGACAGGTAGATCTCTGGGGCTTGCTGACCCATCAGTATGGCTAATCCATGAGCTCTACTTCACTTAAAGAAGCTTTCTCCAAAAGTAAGGGGTGGAGTCACCAAGAGGACTCTGCAGGTAAAGGTGTTTGCTGCTGCACCTGACAACCTGAGTTGGAGCCCTAGAACCAATGCAGTAAATAAAGAGAACTGACACTTTTGGTTTTCTGCTGAATTCCATAGCCATGGCATGGCCTGTGGATGCCCTCCCTCTCCCCTACTACACACATACTAAATAAATGCAAAAATAAAAGTTTTAAAGGGCATGTAAAATGGATCAGTGGGTAAAGGCACTTGGTATACAGCATGATGATCAGTTTTCTGTCCCTGGAAGCTACACGGTAGAAGGAAATAACTCACTCCCCAAATCTGTTCTCTGATTGCTACACATGCCACCAAGACACATGCTTGCCCTTATACAAATGAAATAAATAAATATATTTTAGGAAGGAAGAATAAGGTGGTGAAGCAATTTGACATCAACTACCTGATGTCCACCTGTGGCCTAGATGCACACACATACAAACAAACACAAGCATAAAACAAAAACACAGAATAACCCAAAATGCCTTTTAAAGAACATTCCATTCCTGGGACTCAAAAGTAGTGTTTTATTCTCTGGATTCTGTCACCATATTATTTTTCTTTTCTGTTTTTAATAGATACTACTGAGTAATATCAGAATACAAGCAAATAATTTTAATAGATTAATATGTCTTATTATTCTATATAGACAGTACACAAGGGTGTATTGCCATGTGAAGATTTCTGAATTGTTAATAGGTAGTAACTAGAAAATAAGACTATAAAATCTATTTATAAGACCTGGAGAAAAAAAATTCTATCACAAATCTCATTTAGTTTCTTTTATACAACTTAATACTCACAAATACTAAATTGCTATGTTGGTTTTATTTATTTTTGTTTTGAATTTTATATTAAAAATAAAGTATTGAAATTACGTATTATAGACATGTTGATATTTTGTTTTATTTAGTGTAGTTTGCCAACAAATCGTATTATAGTATATGAAACGGAACAGCATGCTCTTGACATTAGACATGTGGAGAGAATAATACATAAGACAGTCTTGACCTAAGTGCTGCTTGTGTTTGAATTTTCTGTTCTCTGTTATTTAGGGTTGATTTTATTAATAGTGAAATAAATTAACAAATTGATTATCTGACTTCAAAGTTTAATGATAATTATATGCATATACTTGAAAATAATGATTTGTTTACATTACTGAGGTTTATTTATATTAAATGGGAAGGACACAAGTAAAAACTCAGAATATTGTGAAATATACATATATATATTGCATTTTTTATTGAAAATATTTTTTCATACAGTATATTCTGATCACCATTTCCCTCCCTCATCTCCTCTCAGATCCTACCCACGTTTGCAACTCCAAACCTTCTGTTTCTCTCTTAGAGCTTTTTATTTCTTCTATATTTTTTAATTTGCCTGTTTGAAATATATTTTCAATCAAGTTGCCTAGTAGTATTTAGCAGGGTTTTCTAGACTAAGTTTGCCAAGCTTAGTAACAATTATTATTGTCCTTTAATGCTTTCAGAAAGATGTTATTGTTTTCCAATATAGATAGTCTCTGTATGACTTTCTTTTTGGTTTTTCGAGACAGGGTTTCTCTGTAGCTTTGGTGCCTGTCCTGGAACTAGCTCTCATAGACCAGGCTGGCTTCGAACTCACAGAGATCCGCCTGCCTCTGCCTCCCAAGTGCTGGGATTAAAGGTGTGCTCCACCACCGCCCAGCTGACTTTCATTTATATTGTCAGAATGCAAACTGTATGTTAGCTATGAGTAAACACATTATATATATAATAATTACTTAAAAGTTATGATTTTATTTTTAAATCTAATTAAAGAGGTGGATTGCTGTGATGTTCCCAGAGAAAGAAAAAAGCTGATAAACCTTGTGTTATCATTTCTTTTATGTTAAATTCAGTCACCTGCAGATCGATGCAAGAAAATCCATGCTGGGGATGAAGTGATTCAAGTTAATCATCAGACTGTGGTATGTATAATTACCTTAAGAGTCAGTGGGAGAAACTAATTTAAAGATTTGCGAAAACTTTAAAATGATACCAGTGAAATTAAAGGCCAGTATTTTATAAAAGATAACTGAAGAACTTTAAAAAACGTAACTGAGTAATTACTCTTCCAAATTGTTTTATGGAATGTAAGACATGGATTTTTGAAAAATGAGGGTATATTGTGCTTATAAATTTGACATTTTCTGGTATAACTTAAATTTTTTTCATTTTTATAAATTTGTGAATTAGCTACTAGATAAAGTTAATGGTTATATATGCATTTATTTATCTGTTGTAACATTGACTTATTCATTAATATGTAGAAAATTTGGTCATAATTTAAATGCACATTTTAATAAAAATTATAATCCTCAGTAGCTGATTTGGCTCTTAGTTTTCCAAGAGGTTTAGTTCTAAAAATAATATACTAAATTAAATATGTTCACAAAGCTTTCTTACTCGATGAGGCTCACCGATCTGTTCAGAGAAATATGAATGCCAGTGGCATTTAATGCCTATCTCAGATGTGATAGATTTTCAAAGATGTAGAAATACATAGTATTGATTTCTGCTTATTTTATATGCCTCAAATGGTGCAGTTTATTCACCCTCTTTGGCAAACATTAGATCTGTTGCCAAAATTTGAAAATAAAATATTCTTAGATTATCATTTTAATAATCCTTTTTGAAAATATGGGAATTTAAGAAATAGATATCCTGCATATAGTTTAGTAACGTTAGAGTGGGTAATTCTTTCTTGTTCATACCATTGAGCTAAATTTGCTTCTACGTACCCTAAAGAAAGAAGAAAATTTGGGAAAACTGTTTTTTCTTGAGGGACGTTTAGAACGGCTCCAAATGATCATAAAAGTTAAAAATGTTTCTCAGTGAGTTCATTATCTACCTGATATAAAAGTGGATAGACTCTTTTAAAAATGTGATGTGTTAGTGTGTGGCTGGTACTGAACAACAGAGTTCTGGGAATGCACAAGGGCTTTCTGCCAATGACATCATTTTCTCATTAGAGCAAAAGTCCTGATGACATCATTTTCTCATTAGAAAAATAATTCTTTCCACTTGTCCTTTTGAAAAATTCTGGACCCATAGTGTGAGAATTTGGGCAAGGGGATAAAGCAACCAACTATTCCAGTACATCAGTAGCTTTTCCTTCTGTTCTGTTCGTATTGCTTCCTTCTCTGCAAGAGATTTTAACATGTAGACCCCATTGCATATTTTTGACATGAGTTTCTACTTGATCAAATTAAAGTTGCAAGTTAGTCTCTAGTGCAAAGGAAGATTGTTTAAAGAGTACTCTTTATGGAACAGATCTGACATTCATGAAATAAATATCAAAGTCTAAAAGTTTATAGATGAACTAATAAAATCTGCACGAATTGGTGACATTTAAATGCTGAGGATGTGCATACACATTTTCATCACTGGAATAATTTAAAATTTTTGTAAACTGTATAAAATAAGGATTCGGGAAACTTAGTTCTGGTTTTTGCTCTGAATTGTAATCATGGCTTTAAGTGGCTAATATTACTAGAGTAGCTTACCTTTTCTAGAAACATTAACTGTAAATGAAATTTTAATATATAACTGTAAACACAAATATCATGTCACGGTAGTTTTCTGTAGTTTTAAAATCTTTCTACTGCAGGTAATATTGTACAATATAAAAATCTACTCATTTTCTTTATATAAATTTCATTGAAAAACTATTTTAAATATTCCCATGAGGGTCAATGAAAGATGAATTAATAACAGGAAGTTTTGAATGACATTGTTTTATTTTTATTTGTTTATTTTTGATTTTTTGGGCCAGGGTTTCTCTGTTTATTTTTGGAACCTGTTTTGGAACTCATTCTTTAGACCAGGCTGGCCTCGAACTCCCAGAGATCTACCTGCCTTTGCCTCCCAAGAGATGGGATTAAGCGCCACCACTGCCTGGCCTGAATGCCATTGTTTTAAATGGCTGATATGGTTCATATACTCAATAGCAATTGACCTTTTTACCTGTCTTACCTCTTCATGTCCAATAGATAATGTATGATTTTCCTATGTTCTTTTATTTAAATATATATAACTATATATATATATATAACTATATATATATATAGTTACTTAAACGAAACTGAAGTTACATGTCCATTTTCATGTTGCTATATTCTCCATTGTAAGCTTCTAAACTTTTCACATCAACATACTTCTGTGGCTGAGAAACTGGCTTCCAGATAGGAAGAAGAAAAAAATTATGAACATCCAAGCAAAGCAGAATGATTCCTATTCATGTCTTCCTTGCCAGTGAAGATCAACTCATCAAAGGCTGCTGAAAACACCCCAGATTCATTCATTCATTCTCTCTCTCTCTCTCTCTCTCTCTCTCTCTCTCTCTCTCTCTCTCTCTCTCTCTCTCTCTCTCTCTCTCTCTCTCTCTTCTCTCTTCTCTTCTTTCTCTCCCTCTCTCTCCCTACCTCCCCCCTCCTCTCTCTCTCATTCCCTCCATCTTTCTACCACCTTGGCATAATTTGAACCAGCAACTCTGCCCTCATGATGGAGTTTAAACATGTTTTGTACTGATGAAACTGTAGTGATTTTTAAAAAACATCTGGGCCTACCCATAACGAATCTGCTATATTACAGGTTAGTTTTTCTGTGTGAGAGAAAGTGTTCTGAGTATTTAATCTATACTAAAAGCAGGCACTTTCTTCTTGGGCATATCATTTCAAAGAAGGGCATATGTATGGTGATTGAGTATGGCTTTTGGAAAATTTCCCTCTATTTTGTGTTAACATTAAAACATATCCATTGTGATTGTGAAAGGTTTTCTAGCACTTCTTGAATATTTTGGTAAACATGGTCAAATAGATTTGGTTATAAAAACTACCTAAACAGATTAACCAGGGTGAGATGTCAAGAAGACAGACTGCACAAGTAGTGTTGTTAGATCACTGATTACTGAGAGATGGAAGATAAGCATTATATGGTAGTGTCTTTTTTTACTTTCAAGATGGTGAATATTACTGAGTAAGACCTGGAAATCATAGTGAAGGGGATGAGGGGAGAGAACAGCCTGAAGGGCTATTGATTTAACTTGGGAACTTCATTCTATTTCCGGCTGTACCTCTCTGATTCTCAACATAGCTTCTCATTTCTGACTGTGGCCTCAACTTTTTGTTCTTCAAGCCTAAAATAAGAGCTCATTGTTGAAAGGGGGAGAAGTCAACATAATCAGAATATATTAATGTTCATTCCCTTTTGTCCCTTTGAGCTCTAACCTTTTTCCTGGATATCGTTTAGTGCCATATATATCATGATTCTGTTTAACATTAAATATATTTTCCCCCAGTTTTCTAGATAAATTTTGTCCTAGATTTTTGGCTTTCCTTTCTAATTCTTTTGCTCTCCTTCACTATGTGCATTTCTGCTCACTTAGCTATTTCTCCTCCATTCTTACCTTGTTCAGTTATCATTATTCTTCCCTATTCTATTCTCCCTTTTCAAGGGAAAAGTTATTTATCTTATAATCCCTTAAACTCAAAATATTGAAAACTGAGACCTCAAATAGCAGTGTTTCCTCTATTTCCCATATATTATTCATATAGTCACAAGGTGTTACTAGACTCTAGAAATTAATTATATTGGCAATATGTTTAACATATTAATGAGCAAATGGTTCTTATAATAACCTACAAGAACAATATTGGGGTTCTCCAGAATTGGTATTCTGAAACAAAGCACATGAAATAGTATCTTTTAGAAGGGGAAACTATAAGACATTGAAATTAAACAGTATCACACATTTCAGTTACTCATAATAATGCCTATTGTCTTATATAGTAGTTTATGAGATATTAGGTTTTATGTTACTTTAAATTGAACATCTTCATTAAATTGTGTGCAAACTGGTTTTAATGTATCACTTATTTGGCATAAATTGTATTATTTATTTTGCATAATCAACTCATTACTTTATCATCTACCATAATATTTCATTTTCTTTCTGTTATCAAACTAGAATTCATTCTATTAAATCCTTCTATAAAATAAATTAGTTATGTTAATATCTTAATAAAAGTCACTTCCTGTCAACCAATTTCTTTTCTTTGCAGACCTCTGTGTCTTGATTTGTTACTTTCTTATTTACACAGTTCAAAGTAGCTTCACTGTGAAGAGTGTAATTGGTTTCTTAAGTGGTTACTGTAACTCATTTTATTATCAGAATACCTTTTAAGTGCCAAGGTGCAGTTAAATATAATCTAGTTTTTAAATGAATCTTCAAATGACAACTTGCAATTGATTGTTTTGTATGCTTAAGATTTATCTATTGCCAGATATTCTTTTATATACTCTAGGTTTTTAGTTCAAATGTGTATTTTATTTGCAAATTGGTATAATTAACCTCCGTCCTTCCCTACCTTTGAGGAATCTGTCAAATTAACCTCATCTACTCCTTCCCATGAGAAATATGTGTAGACAATTACTAAATAGCACTAAACTTTCTGGTAAAATTATTACATGTAAGAATAATACTGGAGGATACCATGGATACCATGTCATAGGAAATTTGCTAGACAATAACATTAATAGGATATTTATCCTTAGTATTCAGCATCATTAATAAAATTCTGATTAGCATTGGAACTAAAATTTTATATATTGTTATCCATTGTTTCTTTCTTTCTTTTTTTTGTTTTTTTTTTTTTTTTTTTTTTCGAGACAGGGTTTCTCTGTAGCTTTGGTGCCTGTCCTGGAACTAGCTCTTGTAGACCAGGCTGGCCTCAAACTCACAGAGATCCGCCTGCCTCTGCCTCCCGAGTGCTGGGATTAAAGGCATGCGCCACCACCACCCCGGCCCTATCCATTGTTTCTTATTTACTTTTTCTTTTACACTGTCCTGTTCTGAATTTTATTATCTTCATAGTAAGAAAGAAGAGGTTTTTGAAATTAGAATATATGGTGTGTACAGTTTACTGTA